TATTCCTGAGTGTTTTTATATACATCTCCCCCCCCCCCGCCCCCCCCCAAAAAAAAAAACCCAGAGGGAATGGAAGCAAACACTGTTTGATGATGCATGGAGAAGACTGTCCTGTAAAGGAAAATCACAACATAATATTCAATAGAATATAATCAGGTCAAAATAATATTACATGATATCCCAATCTTCATGGTATATTCCTGAGTAAATGAGTATATACAAAATAGTACACATGTAAAAAGTATATGTAACAGGGTTGATTGGGACAGGCAACTTAGACATTGGCTACCTAAAATGGGAAGATAAAGGCACGGAAGTGATTGGCTTACAAGTTTTCAAGAGGGAGTTTAGTTTAAGAATGTGTGGGGCAAGGTAGAGTCCCCACTAAATTGTTTTCATCTTGTCTAGAAGTGTCTGGTGAAAAGAGACGGGGATAAGATAAAAAAACAAAACAAAACAAAAAACCCGAGTATTTTTTGTATTACTAAAAATAAACAAATAGAGCTACTAAGAATCTCTTACATGTATTTTCTACATTGCTGTTCTAAGCCAAGACAGAATCTCAGAATCTGCCCCCTACCTCCTCAGGCCTCTGGCCCCTCACCTCAGTTCAGTCTATACTACCTGCTGCTCCAAACTCCTGGGAGGAGGAGTCTCTGGACCTAGAACTTCAGGAACAGCTAAGTAGACTGGCTTCCCAGGCTTCTCAGATGGACCCAATAAATATATTTAAGCCAGAGTGTTAAATCAGGATCTCCTGAGGCATGCAGCCAGCATTGGTCAGGATATTGCCTGATGCCTGACTCAATTCCGGCTTCCACAAGTCAGGGCTGGCTGCCACCTTACCCAGGACCTCTGGGGGTGTGCTGCCATCTGCTGGACCATGGGGAGCACCAGACCTTCGCCTGCCAAGGCAACTACAGCCTAGTTTTAGTTCTGACTGAGCTAGAGGCTGTGGGCACCACTCCTAGTCCTAGGGTGGGCCTGCAGCATAAGGGAGTACTTACTCCCTGCCTGCCTACCCTCCCACCTCCCAACTGCCCACCTGTGCACACCTGGTCCACTTGCTCCCCTCTCCACCCTGCCCAACTATCCCTAGCTGGTTTCACTATTACCAAAATAGAATGATAGCTTTATATTTTAAATGTTGTTACTCTTTATAACCCTATTATTCATCTTTTCTCTTTATTTAGTGTACCTGACTTTTAAATTTTAAACCAAGTCCCTACTATGTATATTTTTACATGAGGGGACTTTGAAAAGTTTATGGAAAAATTCCATTATCTTTTCACTCAAAATTTCCAAGAATGTTCTGAAGCCCCCTAATATTTTATGGTCCTTTATTGACTTTTTTTCAATAAGCAAAATAATACAAAAAAATATAAAGATGATTTGTTGAATGTAAAACTGACAACTACTCTGTTTAAGATATATATGTATAAAGAAAAAGATAATGTTCCAGCAGTAACTGGATGGTAAGTATCCTTCTAAACCTTCCTCCTTGAACATTCAAACAAATAGAAGCACCTACATACACTATGAGTTGGACTGCTAACCACAAGGTCAGCAGTTCAAACCTACCAACAGCTCTAGAGAACAAAGGTGAGGCTTTCTGCTCCCATAAAAATTTACAGCTTCAGAAACCTATAACAGGATCGCTATGAGTCAGAACTGACTTGATGGCATATAACCACCACATACACGTAAGAAGGTATCTTTTGTGTTTTGTGTCCGGCTTCTCTTTCTACGTCATCTTCTCTGTCTAATCCCATCCATCTCTGCTGACTCTCTGAGGTGAGTGAGAGACAGAGAAAGGGAGAAAAGGGTCTCAATTTGTAACACTGCCCTCAGAATGAACTCTCTCAGGACTAGGATTAGCAGGTAGACCTTTAGTATGGAGGATTTTTTTTTCCCTTTTGTATTCAGAAACTCTTATACAGTGGCTTATATGTTCCTTTTTGCATATCAAAAGAGGACAGCAGAACAGAGAGATAAGGGCCAGTAAGAAAGTAAGATAAAAGGGATGGGTGTGATAATGTAGTCTTCATTTTCTTTTACAAATTTTTTTGATAAAATACCGTATGGACTTTATTGTAAAGTTTGTTGTTGTTGTTGTTAAGTGCCATCTAGTCGGTTCCTACTCATTGCAACCTTGTATAGGGTTTCCAAGGAACAGCTGGTGTGTTTGAACCACTGACCTCGTGAACCAATCAACTCTGTTGCTGTTGAGTCAATTCCAACTAATAATGACCCTGTGGTCACAGTGTGGCGCTGTGGGTTAATGCGCCAGACTGCAAAGCCGTTTGAACTGCAAGGTTGGTGGTTCAAGCTCACCAGCAGCTCCTTAGAAACCCTATACAAGGTCGCTATGGGTCGGAACCGACTCGATGGCGCACAACAACAACAACTGGTCACAGCAGGAGCCCTGGTGTGGTATTGTGGGATAAAGCATGGGGCCACAAAGTTGGTTTGAACCACAAGGTCAGCAGTTCAAACTTACCAGCTGCTCCTTGGAAACCCTATACAGGGTCACTATCAGTTGGAACTGACTCGACGACACTAAATAACAACAGGTCAGAGTAGAACTATCCCATAGGTTTCCAAGGCTATAATCTTTATGGCAGCACATTGCCACATTTTTCTCCCCCAGAACGTATGATGGGTTTAATCCATGGACCTTTGAGTTAGCACTTGGGCATTTTCACTAGGACACTATCAGGGCTCCAGTAATTGACATTGTTGTTGTTGTTGCTGTTGTTAAAGTGCAGTTGAGTCAGTTTCGACCCATTGTGACCCTGTATGGGGTTTCCAAGGAGCAACTGGTAAGCTTGAACTGCCGACCTTGTGGTTCAAACTGACTTTGCAGTCCAGCGCATTAACCATATCAGAATACTGACTTTTCACTTAAATAAGGAAACAAAATTGTTTCCATTGAAAAATACCAATTACGTAATAATGGGAAATTAATCTACATATATTAACTTGCTCCCTAATTCTGTTTCCAGAATTTATGCCTCTGACAAATGTCTTTAACAGTCTGTAAAATAAAGAATTTAACTTGATCCAAAGAACTTGGTCTTTGTCCTTAGTTCCTTAGAGAACCTACATTTTCCAGGTGTCTTTGATGAGGCTTCCACACCACATGTGAGTTTCATACTAATGATTGCCTCTTGGGTGGTGCTGACCAGGCCATACTGTGATATCTGCTGACCTCAAGGGGGACTAACTAAACGTTGAGTTGAATTAATCAAGACTATGTAATGAGGTCCCAATAAAGGCTTTGGACACTGAAGCTCCATGGGCTTCCAAGTTGACAATTGGTAGAAGGCCAGGGCATCCACTCTGGGACATGGAAATTACATAGGAGCCCTCCCAGATCTCACATTATGTTCTCTTCTTTTGGATTATGTTTGCCATAATCAACTTGTAAATATGGCACTTTTGGTGAGTCCTTCTAGTGAATTATTGAAGCCCAAGGGAGTACTGAAAGTTAGCAGGTCAGAAATGGAGGGCGTCCTGTGGATGCCCGACGTTCTGGAAGTGAAGGGAGCCTTGGGGACACCTGAGGTTATCGCTAGTATTCTGAGAAGATAGAAGGAACTCCTTAATTTGTAGCCAGCAGGTCAGAAGTGAAGGTGTCATGGGGGCTGCCAAGCTTGCAGCTGGCATCCAAGGTCTTGGACAGACTTAGCAGTAAGGAGGACCGAGGCTTTTACTTAT